TTATGTAGCTACGAGGAACCATAAAAATATGATCTTGGTCCCTTTCTTCCCTCCATGCAAGAGTTATGATGCTTTGGTTCGTGTATTAACTTAAGGTTTTGGTGTATGGACTCCTTTTAGCCATGGAAAGTCATAAAGTTGGAAACTTTATGACTTAGAATATTATTTAGGACTAGATATGAGATTTGGACATGAGATCTTAATGGAATAAGCACTTAATGAAGTAAAATGGAACTGGACATGTATGTTGGGCGTATCGGGTGGTATGCAGAGCATACCAGGCTGGAGCCTCGTAACCAGGAAGGGATCTACTACACTGAGCATAGTGAATGAGTACATTTGGCGTACTTAGTCTATGTTGACCTCCTTTGATTTTTTTTTTACTCTTTCACAAGAATTTGACCAAGTATGACTTGGGGGCATTTTGGGAATTTTAAGCAGTAGTTTGAGGTTAGGTCACTATTTTTTGTATAGGTGACTTGTAGAGTTTGCATTTAGAGAAACATTCATTTATGCTATCTTTCAGACTATGAGGTAAGTTTTCCTCACTGTACTTGGGAGTCGAATGCACTAATGTCGACCCAATAGATGGTGTATTCGGGTTTGAATTGTTGTTATATTGTGGTGAAAAATTAAGATATACATGATTATATGGTTATTGTTATGCGTTTTACCTATTATATATGTCTACATAGTGTGGTTGGGTTGAGACTATACTGCTTTGTGCTACTAGTCAACAAACTCAGGCAATCCAACCGGAAGGTTGTGGGCTAGGGGTAATCCAACCAGGAGGTTGTGGACCTAGTATGTATTAGGCAATCTAACCGCAAGTTTGTGGGCCAAGACAATCCAACCAAAAGGTTGTGGGAGAGGGGTAATCCAACCAGGTTGTTGTGGACCCAGTATATGTTTTGTACATGTTTTGTTGTGTGGTAGTACTTTGGGAAACACACTAAGCTTTAGTTTACAGTTTTGAGTTTTATGTTTCAGGTACCTCGGATGATCGGGGCAAGGCGAAAGCTTGATCACGCACATCATCCTAGATTTTAATGATATATATATATATATATATATATATATATATATATATATATATATATATATATGTATTATAATTCTAAAAACATATTAATATTTTAAAGAAATATAAAAATAAGTATTTGTACTTCTAAAGAATATAGTTATACTCTTAATACATATTGATACTTCCAGAAAACATATAAATATGTATTAAGAGTATAGTTATATTCATTAGAAGCAGAAATACATAAATATATACATATATACACACACATACACACACATACACACACACACACACACACATATATATATATATATAATATTAGAAAAGAGCTTAAATATAATATTTTATTAAACATTTTTTCGTATATAAATACGTTTTTTCTGTGTGGATATGTATAATATGAAAAAAATACTTATGATAAAAACGTTAAAAAAAATATAAGCTTAAGGGTTTTCTTGCAAATTTAATATAATGATAACTTAGAAAACATGTTATCACATATAACAGGTAAAAGAGTAACAGCGCACATGAGTAAGAGCGCACATTTATTTTTTGCAAAATACATTGTAATGCCTACTTTTCGGATATGTTTATATAAATTTTTTCTTAATTCAAAGTACTTAAGAAATGAGGGTTTGTAATGAAAGCAAAAACACGATGCAACAATGTCTGATCATGACACGGTGAAAAACCCTAAGCTGTGGCGCAACCTAAGTGAGGTTCGCGGTGCGACACTACTTTTTTCACAAATTCCAAAAACTCGGACCTTGAACCCTATATAAGGAAAAGAACCCCTAATGTTGCCTCATTTGGTAGCCTCCATTCTCAAGAATTACTACCCACGAAACCCTAGCCTCTATTTCTTTATTTCCTTGAGTTTTTGCAACATTGGTGTGTAGCTTGAAGGAGAAGGAAGCTTATTTGGTGTAAGAGAGCATAGATCTAGAGAAGACTTAAGAGTCTCAACACATTTTAGACCATTATAAGTATTAAAGTAAATTGTTTAATGTGTTTCTTGCTTAAATCAAGGTGTTCGTTTTTGTCACTTTTGGTCCTATTCTCTTGATGCTTTTGGAGGTTGGGGAACTCTAAAGCTTTAGACGTAGTTCTTGATGTATTCTGTTCATTTAGTGGAGAAAAAAACGCATGTTTGTACTCTCTTGGCTACATGCAAGAGAGATTTTGCCACTCGTGGACTTCGTTTTGACTTAGAAGTTAGGGTTTGTTGCTAAAGTTTGTTTATGGATAAAATTGAAAAGTTTATTCATTAAGAACACTAACAGAATTGGGTTTGGAAAGTTTTAACCTTTGTCTTAAGGGATTAAGTTCTTAACAAGAAAAATAATATGGCTTGAAAAACGCGACACAACCAAAAAAATTTGCGCCACAAATTAGAGACTAGAATCGCGACTTAAAGGAATATCATTTTAAAATTTTAAATACTATGTTTAGTTAAACATTTATTTCGTATATAAACACGTTTTTTTCTGTATAAAGGTTTATAAACTTAAGGTTTTATTGTGAATTTATTTCATAATAACCTCAAGACCTATTAATAATTAACAAGGATAAAAGTAGATTTTTTTTTTTTTTTACGAAATTCCGGTTTTAATGCAAAAAAAAAAAATAGTGTTAAAATAAAATGTTATTAAAAAAATAAAACTTAATTTTTTATGTTGGGTTGTAAATGACCTGATTGAACGTTTCAACAAACCATTCGTCAGGAAATTCATTTATGCCCGTTTATTCAATAAATGAATGAAAACAATCATAAAATATCGTTTGATTAGTTAAATGAATGATTTTTTTGTCCATTTATATTCGTGAATTTTCATTTAAGCTTTTTTTTATTCATATATATTCAATTATTTTTCATTAATGTATATGTTTTTTATATTAATATATGTTCAATTGTGTTGTTTATCTTTGTTCGTTTATTTTTACTTACCATGTTCACAGACATAAATAAACCACTATAAATAAATAAATAAATAAATAATTTATCTTTTCTTTTGTTTGGTTAATATAATTTTTTGTTTTTATTAATTTTCGTTTCATTCTTGTCGACTTCACATAGAAAAAAGTTGGGATTAGTTAACAATATTAACCAACCTAAAAATTATATTTTGTTTTAATATGACGAGTAAGATTTTGTCGTTTTGCACGAAAGAGTGCCGCAGGTTGTGCCGTTCACGACCCCTCTTACCTCCCTGCTTGTCAACACTGTGAGCTGGTTTTAGTTTTGTTTTATGTTTTCACAACTTACATGACCACCCCCTATATTTCTACAATATAGCATATTTCTTTCCGCATCTTTTTAATAATATGTTTTGTATACAATCTTTTGATGTAAATTGTAAAACCAATCAAATTCAAAATTGTCATAATATGAGTTTCTCACCTCAAAATCGTAATCAAAAGTGGTTGAGAGACCAACAACACAAATTAACCCCATACTACTATTTGTTAGATAGATAAATCGACTAAAATATCTTATTATTGATCAAACTATTTAAAATATCTTATAACAATGAGAAATAAATAAATTTGTGAATTAAAATAGGAAAATCTTCAGAACTTTTTTTAATATTTTATCCTATTTTACGAAAAAATTCCAAACTAAAATTTGTTTACGAAAAAATATAAATTATCGGTAAAATGACGATTCGGCTCATTTTTTTTTCCGTTTAACGGTTTCATTACTTACATAGTTCCATAAAAGTCTCATTATTTTACTATAATTTATAAATAAGTCTCAAACTAAAATTTAGTAGTTGTTTGACAAATTTCTCTATGTAACATACATTTTACTACTTCATTGTTGACTTAGACACCTAGTCATTAAATTAGTTGATAAGATGGATACGATCGGTTATATAATGCTGCATTTACTGTAAATTTTGATATTCATCTTATCGGTTCATTTATAACTATGTATTTAAGCTAGTTTGCTGAGCTTTGGCTCTTTCAAAAAAAAACTATGTATCTAAACTAACAATGAAACAAGTAAAATGCGTATTTTCAAGCAAAATGGGTAGGAAATGAGCCAATTCTTTATTGTACCCCCAATGTTTGTCTTTTTTGTGAGTGAGGGGACCAAAAAAATTGAGATATATCAATTATGCACAAACCAAGACTTATTTTTGTGGCATGGATATAGTCACATTCGGTCCATGCAAGCTTGGAGATAGTTTTGTGGACTAAAACTGCAAATTAGGGATCCTTGAGGAGAATTATGTATATTTGTTATTTCATGTCTACTTTTACCAACTTAAAGTCAACAACCGGCAAAAAAAAAAAAAAAAAAAAAAAAAAAAAAAAAAAAAAAGTGATCCCTTCACTTTATATTAATCATCATATAATTTTATTTTTTAAATGGTAGGTCTCTCAATAAACATGGGTAAAACATGGGTGCGATAAAAGAAGTTCCAAGTGATCATTCATCCTAGTACACAATTCTATTTTGTTGATTTTTTCTCGTTTTGAGATTTTTGTTTAAAGTTGTTAGATTCGTGTTGTTAATAGGAACATACAACTAACCATTTTAGATATTCTTATGATATTATAATTCACTTTTTCTTTATTATTTTTTCACATGAATTTGTTGATTTATAAATTAAAAACTTAAATAAATTTGCAACATTTAAAAGACACACATATGTATTAATTCTCTTAATTTAAAAAAAAAAAACAATATTTAATACATATCGACGGAAAATAAACGAAGAACAAAAATTCAACTAATTAATTGAAGAATGAAGTTGAAGGGTGAAAAGAGGTAAAGGATGTGAATCGACAAAAATGTATCAAAGACACACTTGTAGCCTTTTACATCGAGCACTTATAGCCTTGTAAGTAAATGATGCATATTAGTTTGGACTAAAATAACAATGAACACACTCAATTAGTCTAAATATGTAAAATAATGTATAGTTCAAGGACTATTTTGTAATATACCATTTTCTTTCCAAAACACAGTTTCAGCTCATTCAATTCCTACAAGGTCCTCTCTCTCCTCCACTCTGCTCAAACACGATTTTTTAGATTCCCATAATCTCGTTGGGTTCCTGCATTGTGATCGATCAATTCATATACAAATGCATCTTTACATACATCATAAAAAGGTTCTAAATTTATCAGCTACAAGAAAAAACTACAGTTTCTGAAGTAAAAAAATGCAAGTTTTCCATCTGGGTTTTCTTCTATCTTCGCTCTAACACTAATTTCTCATCCAAATTCATCATCATGGACTTCATGAAAGAGAAGCAAGTCAGGTTAATTTCTGCACATTTCACTCTCAATTTACTTATTTATACGTCTTCTACAATCACGTATCAAACTTCCATCAATCAATAGCTGAAATTTTCAATCGAATCCAATAGGTTTTACACCGGCGAAAATGGAAAGTCAAACTTCGAACATTCATGGCAAATCCCAGAAAAGCAAATACCAGAACACAAGATTTCATCAGCCCCATTGCTAATGAATGGCGCTAAAAGTCATATGGGTGTTATTAAATTGGGGAAATCGAGAGTTCACCCAGAAGAAGCCACCGATTTAAACGGAAAAAGGGTTTTAGATCCTGGAAGCGAAGTGATCTTACAATGGAACAGAATGTTTCTTTTCTCTTGTTTAGTCGCACTTTTCGTTGATCCCTTGTTCTTCTACCTCCCTTCAGTACAAATCAATGGTGATTCTTCATGTATGCTGTCTGATTTGAATTTAGGGATTGTTGTTACTTGTTTACGAACAATCGCAGATATCTTTTACATGTTGCACATATTTATAAAGTTCAGAACAGCTTATGTGTCTCCAAGTTCACGAGTTTTAGGAAGAGGTGAACTTGTTATGGATCCTGAAAAAATAGCAAAAAAGTACATGAAGTCGGATTTCTTCATTGATCTTGTTGCCACTTTGCCTCTTCCTCAGGTCTTTCACTTATTTCTTTATCATAATTTACAGCATCATACTTTCATTTCTTCATATTATAACATCGAACTATTTTTGAATATTTATTCAGATTGTGATATGGTTTATTATACCAGCTATTAGAACACAACATGCTGATCATACCACAAATGCCCTTGTGTTAATTGTGCTCCTTCAATATATTCCAAGATTCTATCTTATTTTTCCATTAAGCTCTCAAATCATTAAAGCTACAGGAGTTGTCACCAAAACTGCTTGGGCTGGAGCTGCTTATAATCTTGTGTTGTACATGTTAGCTAGTCATGTAAGCAAAAGCAACCCTTTCTTATTAAGACATTCTACTTTCAAAAAACTACTTAATTATAAAGAATAAAGACATTATATTTTGAAAGTAGGATTCTATAATAAACAAATCAATGAAATTACATTTCAATTTCTTACATACAACATATTATTTGTAGGTAATTCATTGGATATTTATTTTGGTAGGTTTTAGGGGCATCATGGTACTTGTTGTCTTTTGAAAGACATGCAACATGTTGGAAATCCACATGCAGAAATGATGATGTTTCAATGAAATGTTTTCTTCCTTATTTGGATTGTGGTTCTTCAAATGATGATGAAAGGGTAAAATGGGCAAATGGGACAAATCTTTTTGGTATTTGTGATCCTGATAACCCTCAAGGTTTTAATTATGGGATATTTGGAGATGCTGTTTCAAAAGGTGTTGTTTCCTCTAACTTTGTTGAAAAGTACTTCTACTGTTTATGGTGGGGCTTACAAAATTTGAGGTATTGTTCCATTAATATTCTGTTAAAATGATGATCAAAGTTGAAGTTTTTTTTTTTTTTTTTTGTTTTTTTGTATTTTTCATAGAGTTTAATGTAAAAAGTAATGATTGGTTTTTATTGCATGTAGTTCGTATGGACAAAATTTGTCCACAAGCACATATATTGGAGAAACATCTTTTGCCATACTCATTGCCATTATGGGGCTCGTATTATTTGCACATTTAATTGGAAATATGCAGGTAAATATATTGCACTTTTTTTTTCAAATAAATTAATGGAATTCTAATCCATGTGTAAGATGCTTTAATGTAAAAAGTAATGATTGGTTTTGAGTTTTTATTGCATATTAGGACGTTACACTTTGAAAAATATATTCAATTATAACAGAAGAAATTTCTTTGTATTTGAGTATGTTTTGTAATTTGGTAGATTTTTCAAAGTACAATGTTTTAATAGGGTGAAATGAAAGTAGGGTGCTATAATAAATAAACTAATGAAAAAAAAACATTTTTATTTCTTGCATTTAACCCTACAATTAACTACCTTTAGACCTATCATTTAAAGTATGATCTCCTAGTAAGAAAAAAAAATCGAAAATACAAGGCAATAACTGGGTAGATTTTTCAAAGTACAATGCCTTAATGTGAAAAATATTAGAAGTACAATGCTATATAAAAAGAAAGGAAGTACTATGCTATAATAAATGAACATATAAAAGGTGCTATTTCTTGAATCTAGCCAATAAAAATATGAACGAAACCGTATTCATATGACATTGCTATAATTAAGTAGATTTTCAAAGGATAATGTTGTAAATTGTAGTAGCCTAATAGGAGGAAATAAAAGTAGGTTGCCATAATAAACAAATTAACAAAACTAGATTGCTATTTATCACACTTAATCCTATTTTTAACAAACTTTACAATATTCTTGTAGACCTACCTACAATCTATCACAGTAAGGCTCGAGGAGTGGCGGCTGAGGCGGCGGGACACCGAGGAATGGATGAGGCACCGCCAGCTCCCAAACGACTTACAAGAACGTGTCCGAAAGTTCGTACAGTATAAATGGGTCGCAACACGCGGAGTCGATGAAGAATCTATTTTACGAGCTTTACCTTCCGATCTACGTCGAGATATCCAACGCCACTTGTGTCTCGATCTCGTTCGACGTGTAAGATTTGCAGTTCCGACCTAATCGTCAAATTATGTGTCTTATATGTCTGCTAGACACTGGCTCTGATACCATGTTAAAATATATAGTGTCTTTATAGACTCCAACATATATAGAGACAGTCCAGACAGGACTGTGTCTAGCTGATGTGGGACGCTAACAGTGTCATGTCTTCTTTGTTTGTAGGTCCCGTTTTTCTCACAAATGGATGATCAACTACTTGACGCGATATGCGAGCGATTAGGCTCGTCATTAAGCACCCAAGGCACGTTTATAGTACGGGAAGGCGATCCAGTTTCGGAAATGCTTTTTATCATTCGGGGAAGACTCGAGAGTTCAACAACTAACGGAGGCCGAACTGGTTTTTTCAATTCGATTACTTTACGGCCGGGTGATTTTTGTGGCGAAGAGTTGCTTGCGTGGGCCCTACACCCGAAATTGACCCTAAATTTACCATCTTCAACGAGAACCGTAAAAGCCCTAAGTGAAGTGGAAGCGTTTGCATTATGCGCCGAGGATCTAAAGTTCGTTGCTAATCAGTTCCGGCGATTACATAGTAAAAAACTTCAACACACGTTTAGGTTTTACTCGTATCATTGGCGGACATGGGCGGCTTGTTTTATTCAGGCGGCGTGGAGGCGGATTAAGAAGCGGAGAATGGCGTGGAATCTTAGTATGAGTGAATCGTCGTATAGGCCCGATGATGATGACGATGATGATGAGCGGATGCGTGAAATGGACCACCATGAGGAGGCGGCAGCGGAGGCGGTGTATGATCGGAATCCGGCGAAGCAGAATTTGAATGTTACGATATTGGCGTCGAGATTTGCAGCTAATACGAGGCGAGGGATGTTGAAGACGAAGGATGTTGAGTTGATTAAGTTACAGAAGCCGGATGAACCTGACTTCTCAGCCGATCCTGATGACGATTAGTTTAAGTCTGGATACTGATACTGATACTGATACTGATACTGATACTGATATTGATATTGATACTGATATTGATATTGATACGGATAATGATACAAATGCAGATATGGGTGCATGATACATGATACTTGTGTAGTTAGTGGTATGTGGGTATTTATGAAATACTTCAATAGCGTGTCAATATGTACTATTAAGTGATCTAAGCATGATTAAACGTTACGATATGATTGAATATCGACTTAACGAATAACAAATATTTAATACGATTTAAACTAATTGCTTGACAAGATTTTTCCGCACCATGATATATTATAGATTGTGCTGGATTCAAATATGAGTACATTTTTTCGTGAATTGTTTACATTGAGATCTTATACACAAGTGAAAGCCCAAATTGCCAAACCGTTTTAAGTCCGGGGAATATACACACAACTCTTGCTATTTTAAATTTTTTGGCAATATTGTATTAGGTTTGTCACTTTTTTGGCACGAGTGCTACCATGGAAAAGAGAGAGAAAGGGTGGAATTGTCTTGCTAGTTTATCATTGGAATTTATAGTTGAGTAAGGGTATGTGCAAGATTTCACTCATCCAACTTTTAAAAGTTAGAGTCAAGAATTAGGTCCTATAAGTGATTATCACGAACCCTGAACCCCGAAAGTTTGAGGTCCGGACTCTATGAGTCCGGAGGCAGGAGTGTTGTTATAGGTTTATGGGCTTTGAGGCGGTCGGACCCTTAGTGGGACAAGATGATGGATCCACAACACCAATAAGTATCGACTTGATTACCCCATCACCATCGACCCTAATTGGAACTAAAAAGAAGTCTATAATTAGAAGACAAATGACATAAGTTTCTAAATGATAATAGTATGCGGCCAAAAAGAGCCATAATCCTATTTTATTTTGTACCATGCAAACATGTCTTTTGTTTCGGCGGTTTAGGGTTTATGGTGTTGTGAGCGCTTTGGAGTCGTTTCAAGTATATTGGGTAATGTTGTTGTGATCTAGACAACAAGACAGTCAAAACAATACATTTGTATGAAGGTTGCTTCATGGCTATTGATGATGGGGCCTTTGCGGTTACTTTACGACTATGGTGTTAACGGGTTTGAGATGGTGTTAGGAATGCATTCCTTTAAAAGCAATGGTCGGAATTTTGTATGACGAAGATAATTAATGAAGTATAGTGACAAAAGTTATCATGAGAATTGATTGTCTAGATTTAAGAACACACACTATTTTTTTAATTGTTTTGAATTTAGAGGAAATTATAATTTAAATTGGAAATGTTAAATAAAACAAATACTATTTCTTTAAATGATCTTGTCATAACTTATTAATATTGGAATATATATATATATATATAATATATATATATATATATATATATATATATATATATATATATATATATATATATATATATATATATATATATATATATATATATATATATATATATATATATATATATATATATATATATATGGGAAAAGTGAATATACTCTTAAGGGTATATAAGCTTAGGTACCCAAATTCACCCCCACCATGTCGTTTTGTATCATATAATACATTCTAATTGTCCAATGTTCTTATAATTTAGCTTCTAACTTGATTTACTTACATAATTTTTATAAATTACACATTTATCTTCCTCTTACATAATTTTCATTTTCAACTACAATATATACAACCAAGTAGGTGGTAGGCAAAAAGATGTGATGTAAGAGGGAGATAATAGTGGAATTTTGAAAATCTTGAAAGTAAATCAAGTTAGGATTAAAGTTTAAGAACATTATAATTAAATATATCAAACAAAACGACGTATTATGGTATGTTTGGGTACCTAAGCTTCTATACCTTTAAGGGTATATTCACTTTTCTATATATATATATATATATATATATATATATATATATATATATATATATATATATATATATATATATATATATATATATATATATATATATATATATATATATATACACACTAACTGTCCATATATGAGATGATGTCGCATACTAAAAGCCTTAAAAGATTTGAAATAAATAGTAAGTATTTTTTTATGAATTTTGTTATGGTTTTTGTCATGAAAACCCATAAAGTTAGACTTTTGGTCTTAAATAGTCGGTTAACATTTCTTTGCACCTTTTAAATCATTTAACTAAAAAACTACCTATCCCATTTGCCATTTTTCGAAGAAAAAGGAAGGTTTGTCGGTATTTTAAGTGACGTGGACCTTGATTAATTGAATTGACCTTCGCCTTTGTCCACGTCACTTATTCCACCTGTGATGAACTTTAAAAAAAAATTGTTTAACCCTCTTTCAATTTCAATTCCAGGGTACTTAAAGAGAAAAGCATTGATATGTATCGGTAAAAGAGAGGGACAGTAACTAGGGTTTACAAAGACGACATTTTCTCTGTAAGTGTTTGTTGATCTCTTTGTTACGTGAACTAAACTGCATGGCAAATAACAATCCAGATGCTATTTATCTGAAAGTAGATCTAAACTTTAATGGTGTTTTTGTCGTATTCCCACGTTCTTAAACGGGAGGTGATAATTTCTTGTTTATCGATGTTGATTTTGTCGAAATGGATTTGGGTAGGTATGTTGAGTTCCTTCAACGATTCACATGAGAAGTTATTAAGAAACTTTATTAGCACCTAAGGAACCGTCCTTTATCATATGGGATTAGGTCGATAGAAAATGAATTAGATTGCGTCCATTTTCTAGATATAACTTATGAAGAACCCAAAATACCAATATCCATATATTTTGACCGTATTGGGGATGGTTTGGATGACTGGATCGACTCAAATAATAATGAAATTAGGTCTATAATACAAGGTAAGGATAAAGAAGTTGGCGAACTTGGTGAGGATAGAGAATTGGCGTGGATAGAGAACCTACAGAAAAATCCTCTATGTTTGAAGATGAAATCATACAAGATGGTATTACTAAGATAAACAAGACCACTGATGATGAATTTCTAGCTAAGTTGTGTCCTAATGTGGGAGAGAATGGAGTAAATGATGAGAAAGATGAGAATGTAAATGAGGAAGTACATGCTACTTTTAATCCAACTCTACACCGGAAACAACAAAATCTGATATTAGGGATGAGATTTGAGAATCCTAAACGGCTTAAGAGCATGTTATGCAATTATGATGTTGCAAATGGATATCAATTTGTTTCTCCAAAAATGATAGTAAAAGTTTAGATCTAATATAAAATTCCTAGATCATTTGAGATTCATTGAATTGTTTAATGACATGTTTAATCTCAGATTATGCTCTTTAACTTGTGAGTGTGATACCGAGGATCACAAATAAGATGTGAATAACCATGAAAACTCACGTGACATGCTCGAGGTCATTTAAGATCTCGTATTGATGTGTTGGTTTACCACGCACGCTCCATCAACAACCATAAATTCGAGTATGTGCCATCATTTCATCTTTATAGTCCCATATTGGTGTGTTGGTTAACCACACACACTCCACTAACGAATCACAAAGAAATGATGTGCATTTTCATGGATTAGTATATAATTTCACATTTTTCCTAAAGTAACTAGAGTGTGATTTTATAGAAGGTTCTAGTACTTTATACATTATACTTTTAATGTGATTATGTCCTATCAAATATGTTCGGCTAATGACCCTCCACCATACAAAGAAGCAGTGGGTGAAAAGGATATTCATTCAACGGTCATTTATAGGTCGTTTCCTTATACATCTCTTATAGTATAGCTTCATGAATGAGACGTACTAGAGATTCGACTGAGTTTTAAGTTTTAGTGATACATATAGCATTATACTCTTATACATATGTATAAGGTGTATTTTAAAACTCTTTAAATTTCAAGGTTCAAATCATATTAATTCAATTAACCTTTAATTAATTAATATTTGAACTAAATAAGATTTAAGAATTATCCTTAATTAAACTTTTAATTAATTAATATAAATATTATTAAAGGATAATTATATTATCTTACAATTGGATAATTAACTTATTTAAAACTTTTTTTTATTTAAATTAGGATGTCTAATTATCTAGTTATAATATTCAAATTTTAGACATTTAAAATAATATGGACTAACTAATAATTATCATATCTTTTGAACAAGGAACGATAATCCCGAAATCGAATTTCAAGCAGTTCCCACGATGTAGCAGAGGGCTACCCACGTCGTGGCCAGAACAAATTGTCAATTTTTTTCCATCTATTATGCACTATCAATTGAAAATGCATGGCTCTGATACCACTATTGGGGTTTTTAGGTTACAATTCAATTATACATGCGGAATTTCACTTAACTTTTAAGGGTATATGCAACCTAAATTGGATCTATGTCTTTTCACTATTAATAACAACGTACTTATGAAACAAAAACTATAAACCCTATGAAATCAAATTCATGAATAGAACCACATACCTTTTGCTTGATTTGAAACAAGCTAATCAAAAACCATTTGTAGTCTCCTTGGAAAACTAGCTCTAAAAGTATGGTAGCCTCTAATGCGTCACACCCAAAACTCAAGAAACCCTAGGATTGAAGAAGAGAGGGGATACGAAGGAGAATTTTTAGAATTATCCTGTGGAATAGGTTAGTTGAAAATACAAGGGTTAATCCTCTTTATATAGCTGCTTGATAATCACAAAATCCCTAGATTTAAACATAAAATAATAATATTTCAAATTAGTATTTATCTAGTTTCCTTTTATTAGCTGGAGGCTTCCGGGTTACCTATCCAAGAGTGTAAAAATGGTCTAACCGTTAGCAGGGTTCTAGATCCTCTCTTTTTTTCAAATATTGAACAATTATGTAACATTCATAAAATTCATGAAAATTTAAACTTTTTAAAACAGACCCAAATTGTCATTGTTTACAAATTGTTTCAAGATAAGTTTCACATCAGAGTATTCCCAAAATCGTAAAAATAGAATATGAGGAAGTGCACGATCACACATTCGCCTTCCCGCGATC